ACCTTTACATTGCATTTCCTCAATCTCCACTGTCCATTCCTCTGGCAACCCTATTTCCTTTAAAGAATTCACATCGTAATCTCTCCTAACATTTTTTCTCACTTTCCCCCTAACCGTTCCCTTCTCCTTCTTAATACTCGCCAATGAGTTCCCCCGTTTACTCCCCAATGAGTCCCCCCACCCCCCTCCCCCGATTACTCCCCAATGAGTCCCCCCGATTACTCCCCTGAGTCCCCCCGATTACTCCCCAATGAGTCCCCCCGATTACTTCCCCATATTTCTCTCATAGATTCATTTTCCCCTATTTTCCTCTTAGAAACATGCGTCCCTATATCTCCCTTAGAATTCACTTCTCTTATTCTCTCATCTCCTACGAATATTCTCGTCTCATTCGCAGCTTCTTCCCTTAGCTCTATGATATTTCCCCGCTCTCTCCCCTCCCTATTCCTACTAAACGCTGCCTCGAATTCCGATAACGCTTCTCCGTATTCCTCTGATACGTTACCATACACATCTTGTCTAGTCAAGGGTACAAACACTCCCCACCATGCAAATACTCCCCAAAAACTATACCATGGCCCTATTCGGGTGATCCAGTCCCAACCCATCACCGCCTCAACCCCCCGATTTATAATCCATAAATCTATTATCTCCACTCTTTCTCCCAATGTCGCTTCTATTTCAACTCTCCCCATTACAGACACTGGTGACCCATCGAATTACCGTATTCTCAATCTTTCATTTGCGATCATCTCATCAGGCCAAATACTTCTATATTTATCGTATCCAATGACCGAAATAGCTGCTCCCGTGTCAAATAACATTGGTACCAGGCTCCCATTAAAATTTATCATTACTCTAGGACAAGGATCATGAACCATATTCTCTTGTATCATATTTATATATCCCATTAATTTTATTTTTCCATGAGATGACCCTTTGCGTATCTCCTCTAACCTCCTCGGCCTGACCCGTGTATTTTTATTGCCATCATATAGTCACAAATTTCCGCATTCTCTCGTCACATGTCCCATTTTCCGGCATCTAAAGCACTCCATTTTCTGCTCTTTGGTTTCTTCTATATTAGGCACCATAATCTTTGCAATTTTCTCACTCCCAATAGTCCGCACGTTTGTAGTATTTTGACCCATTCCTCTCGGTGGAAAACCCCCTTTTGAGTCAAAATTTCCAGTATTACACTCTTCTTTATTGTGTCCAAATCTTCCGCAACCAGCGCAACGCAATTTCTCTCGTTTTCCCGGACAATACGGGGCTATATGTCCAAATTTTCCACATTCAAAACATTTACTTTCCCGACAATCTCTCACCATATGACCCTGTCTCCCACAATTATAACAACTCAAATTCATATTTTCTCTTCCTCGTGAATCAAACCCCGATCTCATTTCCATTCGTCTCCCTTGTGAATTCTCTCTTGATCCTTTATATGGATCCAATATTTGATTGTATCCATATCCTCTGTACCGAATTCCACTCTCAGGGTTATTTACCCTTTCATTTCTATTTACTGCTTCGACTTCACTATCAGTCCATCCTTTGATTAATTCCTGCACTGGTAACCATGTAACTCGGCCCATCATATCTTCCTCTCCATTGTGTCCTTCAATTGTCAAAGTTTGTCCCTTTATCCTCACGCTTCGGCTTTTCCTAATCCTTCTTCCCAGGATTAAACTATACATCCATATTATTAAGACAATCAACGCTCCGAAAATATAATATTTTATTTCCCAATATTTCACAAATTTTAAACTCTTCATTACTATCTATAAAAAGTTTATAATCAACTTCAAAATAAATATTTTGGTTATTTGCAACGTTAGTAGATAAGATAATATTAATAGTGTAAATAGTCCGATGATGCACATATACATTCACCAACTTTTCAAATTTTGATAATTCCCGATACAATCCGAAATAAATTTTTAGGCGTTTAGATATATGATCCCCGTATACCTTTTTATATATAAAATAATTATTGACGCTTTCTATTCCCATAGCTTACTATAACTTGTGAAAATCTCACAAACAACGGGCAGCACTTCCGTGCTACAAAGCTCTTATTAGACCTTATTGTGAAAATCGCTTATTGATAGGAAACTTTGGTTATCCCCTTTTTATATTCAACCGCCTCACTTAAGAGGACTTAGGTATTTTTTTTTATATATTCAACTGCCTCACTTAAGAGGACTTAGGTATCCCTTTTTTTTAATATTCAACTGCCTCAATTAAGAGGACTTAGGTATCCTTTTTTTTTATATTCAACTGTTTCACTTAAGAGGACTTCGGTATCCCTTTTTTTATATATATTCAACTGCCTCACTTAAGAGGACTTAGGTATCCTTTTTTATATATATTCAACTGCCTCACTTAAGAGGACTTAGGTATCCTTTTTATATATATTCAACTGCCTCACTTAAGAGGACTTGGGTATCCTTTTTTATATATATATTCAACTGCCTCACTTATGAGGACTTAGGTAAAACGACACAAAATTTAAAGACTAAATAATTTATATATTAATAATAATTTTCTTACAACTATTTTCAAATACAAATTAGTATAGATCGGGCAAAAAGAAATATAATAATAAATAAAAATACGCGTGTATATATGCTTTTTCTTTTTTCTTGTCTTTATATACCGGTATTATTATAATTGTTGTTTTTTTTTTATTTATTTTGTTTGGTTTTTTTATATTTTTTTGAAATATACGAAAAAAAAAGTAAGCATTTATTATTAATATTTCCTTTTTACTCATATAACAACCAATATCATTACTTATCTCCGGAGTAGTCACAATTTTAAAAAAAATATCATTTCATCAATTTTATTCACACTTACAACAATAAGTAATAACATTAATCTATTTACATAATAAGTAATAAACAAACATATTATAAAATTTGAAATAAATATTTAAATTAATATTTAAAATTAATATATCGAAGTTTTCTTTAAAGAAATAAAATTTCCAATTTATCAGAGGTAAGTCTGCAGTGATGGGGACTGTAAATATCACTAGCTTCACTAAAAATAGATTCTGAAGAGATTATTGCACACTTTTATAATCAGAAGGTGAAAAAATAATAATATGGCAGAATGGTTATTAACTAATTATTACTATTAAAAAAATTAAACATAAAAATGGATTTCGATTTTATTATAAAAATAAATGGTTTTTTAGATATAACTTTTTAAAAATTTTATAATATTTTATTTTTGTTAAAAACGCCATTTTTTATCGGATCAGAAAATTTTATAATATTTGCCGATAACCAATATTTTAAAATAGGTGAGCTATCGGCCCGATCCGATATAAAATATCGGTACATCCCTTATTATAAGTAAAATACAATTATAATAACTCACTAATTGTAATTTCAAAACAAATTTATTAAAGGCAAAGTTTTCCTAATTGTTTCTTATTTTAAATGTATTCTATTTTTGATAAACAATGACCGTAAGAATAGACGTTCATGGCTATTATTCCATCTCTTACTGATGGCTTTTTTTTACAATATACATTTTTTGTATGTTATAATTTGGTTTTAGGAAATTTTAAATAAGAAGTGACTATCACAATAAAATAATAATTCAAGTTCTAATACTTGATTAGAGCGCTCTATTTATTACAAACAGCATCAATAATTCTTACGAATATTTTAAGTTTATTATTCGTCACATCTTTAAAATTATTATTCCTATTCGATTTGAATTTTTTGAAGAATAATTTTATTCATGATCGTAAATTTCGAATATCGAATAATTTTCGATAGGTCTATGTCAGGGATATCTAGTTACATTGAATTAGTTACAATAGGATAGGAAGGATGAATATAATTTTATAGGCAAAACTTTAAATAAAATACACTCTACATTGATAATTTTCTAGTATATTATTTAAAAGTACTTATCGAAATATACTTTCAGGAAATCCTTAATTATGATACATGAATTATAACTTAATTTTGCTCTTAAAAAGATTAAACAATGTAATAAAAATAATATTCATCCATTAATTATGTGAACATTATCAATAGTGTAAACGTTACTTAAAAAAAAGGAGCCCGTTATCGTTACTTTGTGAAATAAGGAACGCGTTATTTAAAATACTAAACATTATATATAAATCCCCCCCCCCCCACTCCATAGATGATAAAATAAAATTATACAAAAATAATGTTCTTTTTGTAACAATTTTGATTTATTTTTAATAACAATTTTTCAAAATTTTGACCAGATAAAGCGCTTAGTGTTCATCACATCTTCGTTGTGCTAAACACACTTTCAACTAGCGCAGAGGATGGGAGGGTTGTAATATATTTAATAAATAAAAATTTTACTTGGGGAATTTATTAAAAATATAAATTATCTTTATTTTCAAAAAATCTTATGAATTTATAAAAATAAATTTTTCGCCTTCACAAGAATCTTCATTTAATCTGAATTCATGTTTTTATAGATTTAAGCTGCTGGACATCGAGGTTGAAGTATTTGAAGCACAGTCCACTTATAAAGAGTAAACTTAGTGCCCTTAATTTTCTTTATTTGTGTAAAAAATGTTTCATACTGGGGAATGAGTAAAGTTAAATCATTTTTATCTGAAGAAATAAGTACTATCAACATATAAAATTAATTATACATACCTCGATTTATTCAATATTAATTAGATTAACAATTTTGACTATAAATTTCAACCACAAAAATGAAATAAAATTAATAAAGGACTTTGTTGGTTGATCTAAAAACTTGCCATAATTATTTATAAAATTATAAAAAAATATAATATTTTTTAAGAAAAAATTTAAAGTAATGTTTACGTTATCGTTACTCATAAAAGGAACGCTTTACTCGTTATATTTAAAACAAGTAATGAATGGCGCTCCTCCTCATAAGGATAACGCCTTATTAATAACGATACTTACCGATTTAACTTTGCAGCACTAATTATATAGAAACCTAACTTATGCTTACATAAGATTGTATCGGAAGGGCGTCTCATATTGGACTTTTTCGTATTGGACGATATTTTACGTATAAAAAGATGGCATTTTATTATTCGACACCACACGGAATTGATCCCACGAAACATACTCGCCATGCAAGTAAGAGATATATGAAATATACTATTTTGGTAATTTTTCATGTATTTTTTAGGATATGTCCTTTCTTAGTCTCTGCCGATAAAATAAAATATGGGATTATTTTTATCCAGTGTTTATCAAGCAGGATTTTGATCCACTACGATTTCTCTCCTTAATGTTTATTTTCGATGCAATATTTTTACTTAATCTTAAAATAAGCAAAATTATGAAATAAAAAATTAATTTTATTAAAGAGCTTGTCTTGCTCATTCCCTATCATAAATATTTTAATTTCGCTTCCCCCCCCCCTCCACTCAATGTTTAAAATTATATATAATCCTGCCCGTTGCAGACCGCTAGTCTGTATAGCTTTAATATTTTTATAAGCCACTAATTAGTTTTTAGAGCTGTTTAACAGTCTTTCTTTTACTCATATATGATTTATTTGTATTTCAAAACATAATATCTGTTATTTTTAAGGACCCCTCAGTGCTCGAACAGTTATCAAAAAACGTCACTAGGTCAGGCCTGACAAACACCACTTTAAATTATCTCAGAGTAAGAAGTTTTATCTACCCCCTTTTTCCTTTCTTTTTGCTGTTGCTAATATATTAAATTTTTATTATAAACTTATACAAGATATAACTACTTAAGTTAATGCTTCTTTAACACTTTTAGTTGCAGTTATACAGCGTATTAAAAAGGGACTTATCGAATTATATGACTTTAATAAAACATTAAAAAAAAATTTTTAAAAATAGTTCCTTATATGAAGAAATGTTCAATTTTAAATAAATCTTAATTATCTTACCTCTCCCTTAAAATAAATTTAATATAAGTTATGTGTAATACTTGAACCAATGGCCGAATTGATGTCACGGCACAAAGCATATGCGTTGTCACCTAGAGATTGCATGAAAACAACGCTCTTTCAAAAATGGCAAAAGATTATGGGGAATAGTGGTACATATTTAAAAAAATGTAGATCCATTTTATTTAAAATTAGGATTGTTGCATAGAATAAGGCATTTTTTCTAATTTTATAATTTATTTGAAAATGAAAGTCCATTTCAATCATTATACCTCGTCCTAGCTTTTCCAAATTGGTTACGAATTTAATATGAATTTTGTTATTAATCCTATTAAACATACGTGTCAATATTTCATAACTAAAATTACGAATTTTTCGAGAAATACATTTCGGGATCATCCTTTTTATAAACTATTATAAATGACACAAAATAAAATATAAGGCGAAATGTCATAGGTCAAAATATAATTTAACATAGAATGTTCATATATTACTATATTTCAGATAAAGCCAAGACAATTTTTTTCACATAAACAATATTATTTAACCGCCATAATTTAAAGATAGATGGATGCAGCATTCAATCCTTAGTTTGGTTTATTAACTAATTTAAGTGAAATTACTGGGCATTAGATTTAAATTATATGTATTTTTGCTAATCTTATTAATAATTTTGACTAATAGATCATGTAGTTTCTCACCATCCTTCTCCCTTAGGACCCTCAACTAACGGCGCTGCCTTATTTCATCCACATGCTCAGCACAACACCCCCCAAATTATGCACGGGGTAGCTGGCCCAGGAGGTATGCCGCCTATGAATATGATGCCAGGAGGCGGCATTACCCAACACCACCATCGCTTACTTGGCCACCCATCTAGCGTCAATGGTCGACCTTCCCTCTCTAATTTGGGAGTAGCTGGAGCATACGTCAATGGTAATGGCAGCAATAACTTAAATAATAATCTCAATAACCCTGGCACATCTGTCTCCTCGCTACCTCCCACTACCACCAAACAACCGAAAACTAGGTAATAATGCCTTTTATATCAGTTATAAAATCGACGGTATGCTTCTAATTTAAAAAAGATTATATAGTTACGTTATTTTAAAAATAATATGATCCATTAACATAAGATGGTGGTAACATCATCAATAGCCTGAAAAACATTATTTAATATTTCCTTCTTATTCTTTTTTCCTTATTGGTTATAACAATTAAAAATGAAAAGTTTAAAAATAAATAGGTGAGAAATATTTACTAGAAAATAAAATTTATCTGCTCCAATTTTTTTTTTACTATAGTGGGTCCTAAAAAATTTTAATTACCCTGTCTGGTTTTATAAATAAACATTTATTAGCTCTTATAAATTAGTTCAATAAAAATATATCTAAATTTGTTAGTATATATTAGGGCTGTGCAGATCCACATATTTTTCACCGATCCGATACCCGATCCAATATTTATACTGATTTTTAATCACCCCCATTTGAACCAAATGTAATTAAGAAATCAATATTTCTTAAGCAAAAATTCTAATTATGAATTTAATTTAATTTTTTTTATTTCTACAATTAAGACTATAATAAAAAAAAATATATTTAATAATATATCCATTTTATGTTAATATGAATTATAAAATAGTAATATTTAATATATAAAATATAATATATTAAATTTTTTTAATAAATATGAGAGCCTCCAGATTTTTTGGGAATAAGCTTCTACGATATGGACTATCTATATCTCCTGCCGTACTAAGGCAGACTCAGATGATTCCGCAGATAACGCATTTTGCAAAATTATGTCTTGTAAAATATTTTCATAATTCAGATACCATATTTAAAAAAAATATTTTATTTAAAGTATAAATAAAAAAATTGGCGTTATTTAAAAAGATTTAAAATAAATTAAACTTTGAGTGTTCCTTTCTATTTTTATAAAAAGAAACTTTTAAAATACTATATATCTGTTTTAAAAAAGAAATATAATTTAAAAAAATAATTAAGAAAATATTATAATAATGTAAAATAAATATACAAAAATAAAATAACAAAAAAAAGAAAAGTAAAAAATCGGATCGATTTTTTACAGGTATCCGCCCGATCCGATATTTTTGGAAAACGCTAAATATTGGTACTGATCCGATCCGATATTTAATCGGCACAGCCCTAGTATATATTTTATTTAGTAGAGAATAAATAATATTTATCTAGAAATGATTTTTTTATGCCCAAACAGGATTGAGAACCCGAACCCTTCAATCCCTCAATATTAGTATTGTTAATTGGTTGTGTAAAACCCAGACCTGGGGTTTGGGTCTAAAAATCGACTAAACCAGCTTTGAGCACGAACCCCAGGTAGTGTTGTTAAACGGCTAAGCCGAGTCGACTTAGCTGCGACTCGAGCCTAGTTTCTAGTCGAAAAAAACGACTTTGACTCGAGTCGACTAAATGAGCCACATTGGTCGGCTCGCTTAGTCGGGTCCTGTACTTGACTCGTTGGGTCAGCTCAATTTTTTTGTTTTTTTTTATAAAATCTGGTAAATTGCTAAATTTTGGGAAACTGATTAATGTGAACAAAACTATAATAAGAATATGTTGTTTTTAAAGTTTTTCGAATTTTTTTGGCATAAATGGACTAAAATAAGTATTGCTAATATGTTTAAATAAAATTTTAGTGAAAATGTACCCTAGATAAGTGACAATTGTCTAATCATTGTTTTTAAAGTTTTTCGAATTTTTTTGACGTAAATGGGCTAAAATAAGCATTGCTAACATGTTTTAATAGAAATTTAGTGAAGATATACCCTAGATAAGTGACAATTGTCATAATCGTTGTTTTTAAAGTTTTTCGATTTTTTTTGACGTAAATGGGCAATAAGCATTGCTATGACGTAAATGGGCTAAAATAAGCATTGCTAACATGTTTAAATAGAAATTTAGTGAAGATGTACCCTAGACAAGTGACAATTGTCATAATCGTTGTTTTTAAAGTTTTTCTAATTTTTTTGACGTAAATAGGCTAAAATAAGCATTGCTAACATGTTTAAATAAAATTTTAGTGAAGATGTACCCTAGAAAAGTGACAATTGTCATAATCGTTGTTTTTAAAGTTTTTCGAATTTTTTTGACGTAAATGGACTAAAATAAGCATTGCTAACATGTTTAAATAAAATTTTAGTGAAGATGTAACCTAGATAAGTGAAAATTGTCATAATAGTTGTTTTTAAAATATTTCGATTTTTTTTGACGTAAATGGGCTAAAATAAGCATTGCTAACATGTTTAAATAAAAATTTAGTGAAGATGTACAGTAGATAAGTGCCAATTGTCATAATCGTTGTTTTTAAAGTTTTTCACATTTTTTTGACGTAAATGGGCTAAAATAAGCATTGCTAACATGTTTAAATAAAAACTTAGTGAAAATGTACAGTAGAAAAGTGACAATTGTCATAATCGTTGTTTTTAAAGTTTTTCGAATTTTTTTCACGTAAATGGGCTAAAATAAGTATTGCTAAGATGTTTAAATAAAATTTTAGTGAAGATGTACTCTAGATAAGTTTAAATTTTCATAATCGTTGTTTGTTTTTCGAATTTTTTTGACGTAAATGGGCTAAAATAAGCATTGCTAACATGTTTAAATAAAATTTTAGTGAAGATGTACCCTACTGATAAGTGACAATTGTCATAATCATTGTTTTTAAAGTTTTCGAATTTTTTTGACGTAAATGGGCTAAAATAAGCATTGCTAACATGTTTAAATAAAATTTTAGTGAAGATGTACCCTAGATAAGTGACAATTGTCATAATCATTGTTTTTCGATTTTTTTTGACGTAAATGGGCTAAAATAAGCCTTGCTAACATGTTTAAATATAATTTTAGTGAAGATGTACCCTAGATAAGTGACAATTGTCATAATCGTTGTTTTTAGAATTTTTTTGACGTAAATGGGCTAAAATAAGCATTGCTAACATGTTTAAATGAAATTTTAGTGATGATGTACCCTTGATACAGGGTGTCCCATTCAAAAAAAGAAAATCATAATATTTTTTAATTTTTTGTCAATTTTTCTTAAACTTTTATTTATTTTAGTTATTCCTTTTTAATTTATTTCTAAATTTTTGCGATTTCTTTACGTTTTTTTTCTTACTGTATCTTTTCTCAATTTATTTCTAACCTTTTGCGATTTTCTTTACTTTTATTTTTTCTTACTATATCTTCTCTCAATTTATTTTTCTTCAATTTATTTTTAACAATTTACGTTTTTTTTATCATACATACAGATATAATATTATTTTTATGATTTATACAATTTCTTGTTGGGACTGTGATGATTGTACAGCTGAATATAAATAACTCGAATTAAAATCCATGGAAATATACTTAAGAAAAATTAAATTTATTTAGTCTGTCTTCCCTATTGTTTTAAATAATAAAAATTTTCTAATACGTTAAGAATTTGAAAATGATTATTTTTTATTAATTTAAATATCGTTTGGTATTACAGTTAAGGTAAACCAAACGATTAATATATAATTTAGCAATTGTAATTATATTGTCTGCCAAAAACTTTAAATATAATTTTAAAAAATAATTATCAAAAATTAGAAGAAAAAATAGATAAATGCTCAAAAAAAAAGATTAAAAATGACCAGATTGAAAAGGTTAAAAATGTATGCAAAAGATTAAAATGTATAAATCATAAAAAGATATTTTATCTGTATGTATGATGAAAAAAAACGTAAATTGTTAAAAAAATGGACCTAAATTTATAAATTGAGAGAAGATAAAGAAAAATAAAAGTAAAGAAAATCGCAAAAGGTTAGAAATAAATTGAGAAAAGATACAGTAAGAAAAAAAACGTAAAGAAATCTCAAAAATTTAGAAATAAATTAAAAAAATAAATAAAAGTTTAAGAAAAATTGACAAAAAATTAAAAAAATATTATGATTTTCTTATATTGAATGGGAAACCCTGTATGTAGGGTACATCTTCACTAAAATTTTATTTAAACATGTTAGCAATGCTTAGTTTAGCCCATTTACGTCAAAAAAATTCGAAAAACTTTAAAAACAACGATTATGACAATTGTCATTTATTTAGGGTACATATTCACTAAAATTTTATTTAAACATGTTAGCAATGCTTATTTTAGCCTATTTACGTCAAAAAAATTCGAAAAACTTTAAAAACAACGATTATGACAATTGTCACTTATCTAGGGTACATCTTCGCTAAAATTTTATTTAAACATGTTAGCAATGCTTATTTTAGCCCATTTACGTCAAAAAAATTTGAAAAACTTTAAAAACAACGATTATGACAATTGTCACTTATCTAGGGTACATCTTCACTATATTTTTATTTAAACATGTTAACAATGCTTATTTTAGCCCATTTACGTCAAAAAAATTCGAAAAACTTTAAAAACAACGATTATGACAATTGTCACTTTTCTACTGTACATTTTCACTAAATTTTTATTTAAACATGTTAGCAATGCTTATTTTAGCCCATTTACGTCAAAAAAATTCGAAAAACTTTAAAAACAATGATTATGACAATTGTCACTTTTCTACTCTACATCTTCACTAAATTTTTATTTAAAGATGTTAGCAATGCTTATTTTAGCCCATTTACGTCAAAAAAATTCGAAAAACTTTAAAAACAACGATTATGACAATTGCCACATTTCTACTGTACATCTTCACTAAATTTTTATTTAAACATGTTAGCAATGTTTATTTTAGCCCATTTACGTCAAAAAATTCGAAAAACTTAAAAACAACGATTATGAAAATTGTCACTTTTCTACTGTACATCTTCACTAAAATTTTATTTAAACATGTTAGCAATACATATTTTAGCCCATTTATGCCAAAAAAATACGAAAAACTAAAACAACATATTCTTATTATAATTTTGTTTACATTAATCATTTTCCCAAAATTTAGCAATTTACCAGATTTTATAAAAAAACAAAAAAATTGAGCAGACCCAACGAGTCCAATACATGAGCCGACTACAC